TATCGGCACTAGACTATTGGTCCTTCGAGCCGGATACTCTACCAGTTCATATCGCCACTGCAATCTCGGGCTAATCAAGCAAAACTCGGCGTCAGAATTAGGGGCCGCGCATTCAAGACTGAGTGTCGAACAGTCCACAAACGCTGTAGCTACAGCACAACGGGTTCGTAAACGGACATACGAGTTAGTGAGCAGCATCAGTCATCTGCGACAGCAAGGACATTTATCCACGCAGCGTAGCAGCAGCCAGGCCTTAGAGGGGCGAGAAAGCCAACGATAGCTCGTAACGTTGCGTTACTTCCGGCGACTCTCATCGCTCACGACGAGGACGGAGGACGTTTCGACGCGACATCAGGGCACCACCTCCTCGGGCGGCGATACGCATGCAATCAATTGTAAGGTAGGGGCAATTAGCTCATTGTCGGTGCCGATTATTATGTTAAAGGTCTGATCTTTTCTCACGCTTAGCATGGCGAATGACGACGATATTGGCGCGCTCAGACGCAGGCGCCGAACGGCTTGTACACGAATACGCACATTAACCGAGTCCGTCACTTCCGTTACGTCATCCATTGCGGCTCAACTCGAGGAGCGCCGGGCAAAGCTCAACTTATTGGTCGGAATATGACTCCGTTCAAACGAAATTAGAGGCTCATAATGAGGACGAGGCGGAGAATCGCGCAGCGTTCGAGGATTCATACTACGTGTAATCGGCGCGGATGCGCGAGATGCTTTATCTAGCGTCGACGCTGCGCGCCTCGGCGTCGCCATCGCCGTTGTCTTTCGCCATCGTCATCGCGCAGCTTTTCAACCATATAAGGCTACCCAAATTAAAGTTGCCGAAATTCTCGGGAAGGTACGACGAGTGTTGTCCCTTCTTCGACAGCTTCAATTCTCTCATTCACGCGAACGCATCGTTAAGCGACATCCAAAGGCTGCAATATCTGAGAGCGTCGCTCACAGGAGACGCGGCCAAGATAATTAGCGCGCTGAAAATCTCAGAGGCGAATTACCAGGTGGCGTGGACCCTCTTAAAGGAGCGATACGACAATCGGTGCGCGATTATGTGCAGAGCCACATAAAGACTATCTTAGAATTGCCGTCTATGACAAAGGAAAATATTACTGAGCTGCGTCAAATCGCGGACAGCGCCATCAGGCATATCCATGCCCTTCAGGCATTGAAGCGCCCTACTTCACAATAGGACGATTTGTTAGTTTATATTCTAAGCAGCAAGCTCGACACGCTTACCTCGCGGGAGTGGCAGCTGTCGTTGACGGGAGCCGCGTTACCTTAAAACAGTTTACAGATTTCGTGAGAGAGACTCACCGATGTATAACTCTCGAAACTAGCAGTAAAAACAAGAATGTAAACTTGCGTCCGTAATCACAGGCGAGGGGGGAGCATCTCGTGTATCATTGCGAGGATTTCGTCGTGTTACCTGTCTCGCGTAGGATAGCCGAAGCGAGAAAGCGCAAACTTTGCGCCAATTGTTTGCGTCCGGCGGATCATACTACGAATAAATGCCCTTCAGGCAATTGCAAAATTTGCAAGGCGAAGCACAATACTTCGCTACATCTCGCCGCGACACCAGCAAAATCGGATGAGGTCGACTCGCAAAATCGTGTCGCCAATGATTTGGCGACAGCCGCTGCCCCTCCTGCCGTCGTCATGAGCAATATTGCTTCCGCTGACCGCGGTGGCATCATGCTCTCAACCGCCGCCGCGTTCGCGCAGGACGGAGAAGGCCATCGTAAGGCCTGTCGCATATTATTGGATTCCGGATCGCAAGCGAATTTCGTCTCGCGGAGGTTTGTACACTCGCTCAAGGTCCAGACGCGGTCGTTGGACGTATCCATCTCGGGCATAAATAATACCGAGACGCGCTCATTTCAAGCAGCTCACATAGTATTACATTCCCGAACGACTGCATTTAGTATTACATTAGATTGCATCATCGCCGAGCGCGTAACCGGCAAGCTTCCGGCAACATCGTTCAAACGAAGCGCCTTTGAAATTCCCCGGAACATTGAATCCTGGCTGATCCGGAGTTTCATGTCGCGTCTGAAATCGACATTCTAGGCGGTGCAGAGCATTTTTGGAACTTACTCCGTGTAGGGCAAATCCAGGCATCACCGGCGTGCCCCACATTGCAAAAGACCCGCTTCGGATGGATATTGGCGGGGCCATGATAAAAATACAAGGGTATGCTCATCAATTGTCTAAAACTCGTTCAGCTTGCGCATGTCCTTGCCTACGTCATATTCGGGTACGCGTTGATTGGTCGGTTCTGATTCGGGTGCAATCGGTGGTTATCGGTCGTAATTTATCATGGCGTCCATGGCGTAGTGCACGTTGTCATCGGTAGAAGTTAATGTTAAAAATATTTTCACGATGACCTGCATAGTGAAAGGATGCGGCAATTATATGAAAAAAACAAAAAAACTGAGGGAAGTAAAATTAAATATTTTACCTTTCCAAAACAATCTGAAATTGCTGAACAGTGGCGTAAGCCACTCGTTGTGACGTAAGCAAGGACAAAAATCTGATTGGTCATGCGCATGAGCATACCCTTGTCTTTTTATCATGGGCGGGGCGTTCGCGCATCGTGTCAGGGACGTCGGCGAGTGTGCAGTCTTTCCACGCGTCAATTACTAATGTGCAATTACACGAGCAATTGGCGCGATTCTGGGATGTAGAAAATGTTGCTGTGGCATCCGACGCGCGCACGGCAGAGGAGGCGTATTGCGAGGAGCATTTCGTTCAAAATATGTCTGGCACCGAACAGGGCAGGTTGTGAAGCTACCTTTCACGAAACCGGCGCCGCACGCGTAGGTTAATTCCAGGAACATTGCTCTAAAGAGATTTAGAGCCGTCGAAAGGCGACTCAATCGCGATTCGAATCTGAACGAGCGATACTCTCAATTCATGAGTGAGTACATCGCTCTGGGCCACATGAGGCAGATAGGTGAAAAAGGGGGGGGGGGAGGACTCAGAGTCCTTTTACTTACCGCATCACTGCTTTAGTAATGCGCCGAATGATAGTAAATTTCGCGTCGTGTTCGATGCATCCTTCAAGGACGCAGCGGGAATTTCCTTAAACGACGTGCTCATGGTCGGTCCGACAGTGCAGCAGGATTTGTTCACGATCCTGTTGCGTTTTCGCACGTTTCGTTACGCGCTATCAGCCTACATTGTAAAAATGTACCGCCAGGTTCAGGTGCATCCGTCACAAACGCGCTATCAGCATACTCTTTGGCGCGGCGAATCCGCTTCTGATATCGTGACATATGAGCTACTTACGCTGACTTATGGCACTCCCCGGCATCCTTCTTGGCCACGCGATGCCTCATGTGGTTAGCGGAACGTTCCGCAGCCGAATGGCGCAGCGTGCGTCGGGCGTGATTTTTATGTCGACGACGTGCTCACCGGGGCCGACACACTGATGGAGACGCTAACGATACGCGACGAAACGATTAAAGTACTGCACTCGGGCTCCTTCGAGCTTGGCAAATGGGCATCCAGTCATACGGAATTGTTGGAGGGAATCAAAAATCAAAACGATAACCCGGTAATGATTCAAAAAGGTCCGGAGTCGTCCGTGTTAGGCATTCATTGGATTCACTCGCGGGACACGTTCCGTTTCTCTTACAACCCCGACGGAGATGCCGCAGTAGTTTCCAAGCGAAGCATATTGTCGGAAATCTCGAGGCTTTACGACCCTCTCGGACTGTTAAGTCCAGTGATCGTTTAAGCAAAATTAATTCTACAGGGGCTTTGGCAAATGGGCGCTCATTGGGACGAGTCCATCCCTCAAGATCTGCATACGCGGTGGTCAATGATTAAATCACAGCTAGCGGGCATTAATGAGCTCGAGATTCCGCGATGCGTTAAGTATGCCATGCAATCCGGCCTAGTGCAGATACATCGTTTTTGCGATGCAAGCCAGCAGGCCTACGGGGCATGCATTTATGTGCGATCCGAACTCGAGAATAATACCTGCCGCGTTGAGCTTTTATGTTCCAAGTCCCGCGTGGCGCCTCTCAAGGCCCTGTCACTGCCGCGGCTCGAGATTTCAGCAGCGCTCTTATTAGCTAGATTGATGCGCAGGATTCAGTCGGCGTTTGACCTATTCGGCATGCAAGCATATCTGTGGTCGGATTCTACGATAGTACTCAATTGGATATCATCCCCGTCGCGAAAATTGTCGGTATTCGTGTCGCATAGAATTGGTGAGATTCAAGACTTAACGGACGTGGTGAGTTGGCATTATGTCAGATCGGAGGACAATCCGACTGATTTGTTGTCGCGCAGGTTAAATCCACATGACTTATCAAAGTCAGCAACGTGGTGGCACGGGCCGGTCTTTTTGCAGCGCAATGAGGAATCGTGGCCCAACTCCGAGTTCGCGCGTTTTCTGCATGACCTTCCGGAACAGAAAAAATGCGTTGCGGCAGCAGTGATCTCCGAGTGTTCTATCGTTGACGAGCTACTAAACCGGCACTCGAAGGTCAGTAAAACGTGCCGGGTAATCGCATACTGCCTAAGACTTTCCGGATCGCGGCGTCCTCGCGAGCTCGGGAGGCTGATCTCACCGCAGGAGATATTAGTCGCGCTACAAGTCATATGCAAATCAGTGCAGCGGCGGGCACTTTTCGCGGAATACGAAGCCCTCGGCGAAGGACGCGCCATTAGTGCAACGAGTAGTGTGCTGGCCCTGTCTCCGTTTATCTCAGAGGACGGACTAATGCGGGTGGGACTAATAGGCTGGCCAAATCGACATTGAATTATGATGCGCGTCATCCGATTTTGCTGCCCCGGAATCATGTTTTAACCCAGAGCATAATACGCCAAGAACACGAGCATAATGCTCACGCGGGCTTGCAAGCCACTATGGCGGCGGTGAGGCAACGTTACTGGCCAATATCACTAAGGTCGACTGTCAGAAAGATAATAAGAAATTGCATAATCTGTTTTAAGGCGCTCAATCACACGCGATCATGGCGCCCTTACCTGCGGGACGGGTGACTCCGTCGAGGCCATTCATGCAGTGCGGCGTCGATTATGCTAGTCCGTTTACGGTTCGCGAGTCCAGGAGGCGCAATGCTCGCACTCATAAGGCGTACTTGGCGATATTTGTATGCTTCGCCACGAAGTGCGTGCATTTGGAGCTCGTAGGCGACCTCTCCACAGACGCATTCATTGCCGCGTTAAAGCGATTCGTATCGCGCAGAGAAAGCCATCCTGCATTTATTTCGACAATGGAAAGACGTTCGTAGGCGCCCAAGGGCAACTAAAGGAATTCTTTAACCTTTTGCGTAACGAACAAACGCAGATCGACATAGCACATTTTTTACGTGACCAGGAAACTGTCTTGAAGTTCATTCCTCCATACGCACCTCATTTTGGCGGTCTGTGGGAGGCCACTGTCAAGTCCGCCAAGCGCCATCTCACTCGGATTGTCGGGAACGCGTCGTTAACGTTCGAGGAATTGCAGACCACATTTTGCGAAATTGAGGCCATCTTGAACTCGCGTCCTCTCACTTCGTTGAGCGAGGATCCTAACGATCTGAGCTACTTAAGTCCAGGCCATTTCATAATCGGCACCGCTTTGAATAGTTTCCCCTACCAGGATTTAAGCGATGTTAAAATTGAACCAAATGGTGCTACTGAAACGGGCAGGGCTGGCTCCCCTTCAATGGTTGCTCGGGCGGGTGGAGAGACTGCATCATGGAATTGACGGCATCAACCGAACAGCCACCATCCGTACGGCCAGAGGACAGTTCACAAGGCCATTGACCAAGATCGCCATTTTGCCAATTGAGAAATAGCACCTTCTTCGTTTATGTTAGAATTAAGATAACAATAAGATTGCATGCACCTTCGTACCTTTGCTTTATCATCTCTTTTTTTTGTTTTTATTCGCCTTTTATGATGTATTTTCTCCGGAATAACTTGTTTATGTTTACTTATAGTGATTTGAAAGCAGCTTCTTTCAACAGGGGCGGCTTTTGTTCGGTACACGAACCATTAACTTCTCGCGTTATCGACAGCGATGGGCTGCGGCGCGCAGATCTAACGAGATATGGCGCGGCGATTGATATCCGAGCGCTTCGGGCTTTTCCGAGAAACGTCGTCGTCGGTCGGCAGAGAGAATGTTGTGCTGCCATCACGATCGGTAGTAAAATTGTAACCGCAGCTTGCGTCAAGAATAAAGATCAAAAAGGATGTTTTAATCGTGAGTTTTCATATCAGAAGATCCTTTCCCTTCACGCTAAAGGCGGCAGAAAGAAGCTAAAGCAGTGCCTCACGATCCAGATATAGAGGGACACTTCCCTCGACCACGTTTCCCGTTGAACCAAGACCGGGAAAACACGTGGAGCCGGCGCCATAGCAAATCATTAACGTGGCCCAGCCAAATCGACAACAGCTGTTATTTATGTACTCTTCTAGATCATCCAATCAGATTTTCAGATCTAGAAAAATACATACATAGCAGCGAGCGCTTAATCAACTGTTGAGGCTGCATTCAATATACATGCACAAAAAGGTAATGCACCAGCAAATCTGCTCTTCTAACGCCTACCCGGAAACAGTAGCAGTTTAGTATTACATACGAATATGATTACAATAACAACAAGTAAATAAAAAAAAACAAACAATCTGCGAATTTATATATTTTAAGGCTAAGTGGCAGCGCTTGACCCGGAATGCATTGTTACGTCCGGTGGACTTCACGATTTCTTCGTTTCGCAACCGTTCAATCAACGAAGTAAGATATGAACAAATCCAATTGATAACACAAATCCGAGAGAAGTTTCCAGCCACAAAATCTTGTTTGCCTAGAATCGAGAGATCCGCGATAAAAACTCTCTCTTAGTGCCGACAATCAAACGTTAAACCTCCTTTCGAGCATCGTGGAAAATGAAAGTCAATATCAAATAATCACCAAATAGCGTTGGTACCAAGGCGCTAAGCCAGGCCACGAAATGATTGCCTAGAATCGAAAGATCCGCAATAAAAACTCTCTCGTAGCATTGACTATCAAACCTCTTTTCGAGGATCGTGGAAAACGAAAATCAACATCAAATAATCATAAATCAGCGTTGGTACTAAGGCTAAGCCAAGCCACGAAATAATCCCCGCGATAATAAGAGCGATACCGCGGACCAACGCTCGAAAGAAGATGAAATGTTTAACCATCTCACACCGATATCACGCGGGCCCAACGACAATGGTCCCACGCTTAGGCTTAAGACAGGGTTATAAATCTAGTAATGACATTTTCCGACACTGAGAAAAATCAACACGAACCGCGACTCTCGATTAACTAATCCAGAGATATCTATCCATCGTTCAACGCGAGAACGAATAAAAAATGACACAGCAGGCGGAGCTAACCGTTATGTTTTTATGTAATTATAGAATTTATGCGAAATTTATGTAAACCTAATGATTATCTTTAACTTAATTTTGGAGGATTGGGGCAGCCAGTAAATTGAAGAATTTGACAGCTATATAGGAAAAAGAGGAGCGAAATTTAGAGGAACGATAGCGAGGAAAAGCTAGGGAATTTTGATATCGAGTGGAACAAGTGTCTGGGGAATGCAGTTCGATGTTGAGGCGTAAGAGATTTTGAAGATAAGGAGGGGTATTAGTATGAAGGACACGAAAAGTAAGACAACATAGATATAGAATAAAGCGCTGACGAATATCTAACCAACCGGAGTTTGTGAAGGCAGGGGTTATAAACGATCGAATTTATGGCTATTGTATGAGAAACGCAGACAGGAATTTTGTATAATAGGATTTTGCGTTAATGAAGGAATGTAAACCACGTCAGCATAGTCGAATTAGGAAATAATGAGAAGTCGGGAGATTAGAAGTTTATTTGAAGTATTTAGGATATGACAAAAAGGATATTGAAGACGAAGACGAAGGAAGGCTGCTTGATATTTAACCGAGATGTGTGTACTGAAACTCCATAAGGAATCAAAATGAACACCAAGAATTTTAATGGAGGTTGAACGAGGAATTAAGAATTAGTTAGAGATAAGTTGAATGTAGCAAGACAAGATAGCGAGGAGGCGGAGCCAGTAATTAAGTACAGGAAGGGTTTAGAAGAAGGGAGTTTGCAGATGACCATTCCGAGATAGATTTGATATCCCTATTTAGAGCAGTCTCAGCCGAGATGTAGTCAGATGGATCGAAAGATAGAGAAGAACGATGTCATCAGCGTACATCAGTAGTTTGGAGGTAATTGAAATAGAAGGAAGATCAGCGGTGAAAATTGTGAACAATAGAGGGGCCAGAATAGAGCCCTGAGGAACACCGGAGGGAACAAAACGGGATGATGAGAAGAATGGGAAGGGAATATACAATAAGACTTTCTCAGAATGCTTCTCTAGGTACGAGCTAAAAAAGGAAATAACGGAGGAGGATAGGCCATAATGATGAAGCTTATGCAGTAGCAGCTTATGATCGATAGTGTCAAAAGCTTTGGTAAAATCGAGAGCGATAACAGAGGTAAGGAGACCAGAGTCAAAACCTCACAATACAAAATCTGACAGATCCAGAAACTCAGTGATTGTACATATGCTGGAAACCAGATTGGCAATCCAGTACGCTGAAACCGGAGGCTAGGCCTCGGCTTCATGTCCGGATCGACGACATCAGCCAACACAAGGTGAGAAACGGTACAACATGCGTAACCTGGAAATAGAACATTGTATAGCATTAGTAGTAGATTACGATATAGAATTAGATTAATGATAGTAATAGAGATAGTTATATAGAAAGAAAAATAGAAAGAAAAAGAAAAAGATAATTAAATAAAAGTTAGATATTTAAATGTTAAGTTAGTTAGAGCCCATAAGGCGACAAAACCGTAGAAGCGGTAACATTACTATATAAAGTTGTATAACGGGTGACCGGAAAAAATTAATGTTTTGCAATAAAGTAGAAATAATGGAAATAAGATTTCATATTGGAGAAACCGACCGTTAGAGTCATTAATAGCTTTAATAGAATTGATTTAGTTAATAACGGATTATACAATATACCGGGTGACTATGTAAAATTTGTTGTCGTACATATAAAAGTAAGATATGAAGAAAAGCTACCGTGAATGCAATGAGAAGCTCGAATACGTTGCGGATATAAACCTGCGAATCACCGCGGATACCGGGTGATCATATAAATTTGCTACTAAAGAATTAAAGTCGGCGGATCGCAGAAAGCGACCGTCATGTGTCATATAGGCGCCAAATAAGAGTGCAGCTAGAGTATTGGATCACCACGTATACCGGGTGACCATAAAAAATTGTTATCACGAAATAGTATTGAGAATTTGAGAAAGATTAAACCGTCATGTTAAGATGTAACATTAATGAGATTGATTGTTATTGTTAGAGCGCACCGTATATAACGGGTGACTAGTAAAAAGTTATCATTGTAAACGTTAAATAGACGGATCGCGAAAAGCGACCGTTATACTCATAGAGACTGCGAAGGAAAGATATTGTTAGAGTTATGGACCGATACCTATACCGGGTGATTATGAAAAACTGTCATTGTAGACTTTAGATTGACGGATCGGGAAAAGCCACCGTCATTCTCTTATCGGACGTTAAAGAAACGCGCATGTAAAGTTTCAAATCGATATCTATACCGAGTGTCGATAAATACTGTAGAGTAGAAATAAAAGTAGAGGAATCGGGATAACCGACCGTCATTGTAGTAGTTAGCACCGAGAGAGCGTGCAGTTAAAATTTTAGATCGATCCGATTACCGGAAGTGCCTAAATTACTGTTATCGTACCGATCGAGTCAAATAGTTAGAGATCTGCGGACAGTAAGAAATGTATATATTGTATATAGGTAAAAGGGGATGCAGTCGATAAGTCGATAACCTGTAAATAAAATATTTATTGATATACTTACCATGTAACTCCAGCGGGAGAAGATGAGCGGCTGCATTTCCGTATTGTAGTGTGATACCTGAAAATAAAGAAAAGCGTAAACTAAAAATTAACATAATATGATAAAATAGCAGGAACAAGATTAAGCGGCGTAGTTGGTAAAAATTCGGCTAACGCTGCGAGCGCTGACAGTGCGCGAGTCAGTAGAGGAAAGCGAGCACTAAAGAGGGGATAGCAAAAGGTATATAAACGAGAGCGCGAGGCGAAACGGGGCTTTTTGCCGTAGGTGGTTTGCCGTACGCTGTCCGTCGTGAAAAATTAAGTTGTTAGGAGTTTAGGGGGACGGGCGTGAAGAAAGTCGCGAGCGGGATCGTTTCCAGTCGCGGGCGGAAAAGCCAAGGGCGGCGCAGAAAACGGGGGCTTGGCTCTAAACGCACCGATCGAATTATTTGTGAATGGCCATTGTCGTTAAAAGAGTAATTAGTAGCGCGCGTATCCGGGGAAGGTACCCGGAGCGGCGTTAACAGAGTAATTATATTGAAATTGCTTGATTAAGTGCGCGCGTGTATCTGGCGAAGGTACCCAGAGCGGCGTCAACCGAGAAATTATATTGAAAGTATTTGATTAAGTGCGCGCGTATCTGGCGAAGGCACCCAGAGCGGCGTTAAACGAGTGATGATATTGAAGTTAATTGCGGCGTACGCGTTAGGCAAGAGATACCTGCGCGGCGTTGGGCGTGAAATATGTAAATGGAAAGTTATGAGCGAAACAAGAGATTGAATTGAAATTATTTGCGGCGTACGCGGTAGGCGAAGGATCCC